GGTAATATGTTAGCAACATGCAACAGCATGATCGCAGCATGCAACAACTTGTTGGCGAAGCGTGTCGATGTCGGCTGTTAGCCTGTTAGCCAACTTGTTGTTGCATGTTGCCAAAATGTTGATCATACGTGTCGCTGGCCAGAGACGCAGAGCAGGGCAGCAAGAACTGGTTGAGGACGATATTTTTGTGCTTTTGTTTATTATTTATTTTACCTTGATAACGCAAAGATTCTTGTAGAAGTCCACGTGCTCGTTGACATCAGCGTCTCCATCAATGGCGTCGAACATGTCGCATTGGCCGATGTGGCGGTTGTAGTTGACACCAGCGCATCTAAATCGGGATAGACTATGATTTGTAAAGGTAGCTTTTTATATTTCAGATTTAACCTTCTATAAGCTTTGAAACTTCTATTTTTTTGGTTTGCAAAGTACAGAATATTTTGAAAAAAAACTTACGTGGGGTTGCCAGCGCATACTTCAAGGCAAGAGTTGAGTGAAACGACCTTGTATGTCTTGCTTGCGATTCCACGTTGTTTTGTGTGTAAATATCTCGAGAACAGAGCATCGTCTTTGTTGATCGAACAATCAGCTTCCACTAGAGGCATAGCTAGATAAATACACAGTTTGAATTGGCGCCGCTCCATGTCGCTTGTCAGTCGTGCAAGTGTGCACGCGCGATTGCGCGCGTGCATATTGAATCCGTGCGACACGTGCGGCATTTTAGACAAATTTATTGGTAGATGTTGTGCTAATCGGGGAGTTGTGGATTTAGGAAGTTAATTGTGATTTTTTACTGTGCATTGAAGTTTGATACCTGCTAGACAGTGCATGTCGTATAGGTCAGTGCCCTGACGGATTTGTGGGCGGAGCGTGCTCTTGCCGTCGAGATAAAGAAGGTTGCAAGTGCCAGTCCGCTTGTCGTAATTGAATGAACGGCATTTTTCCGGAGCAGTATCGGCGCACCTTAATTGGTTGTTAGCCACGAATCCTAAGGGTATGGTCCCAAAACTCACTTCTTCATGCATCCCTTTACTCCTTTGCCAGCTGACTTTAGCACATGTAGGTCACCTTCACCTTCTGGGAGAGCTGCGTTGATAGTTCTCACTGCCTAAACTTGTGTCAAGCTTAAGAACAAATTTATGGGGAAGCTGATGGTAAGTATAGTGTGTTTGCGGTGCCGACATCTGCCGACAACATTTGCGCGTAAACAAATCGCGAAGCCTACGATTCCGGCAACTTGAGCGTGCAAAATGGGCGTAAAGGGCCGGGCATACTTCAGGCGATTTCAGTCGCGAGGCGATTTGGCAATATTCCAAATATCCATAAATTACTGTAAGCGCATTTCAGATGTAAGGAAAATAAGGCGTTTTATCAATCCACGTAAGTTACACACTATGCATGTGCAGTTTGCTAGTGTTGGATCTGGAGATTTCTGGCGAATTGCCAAATCGCGGCGCGATTGAGATCGCGCGAAGTATGTCCGGTCCTTAAAACGCAAATTTGCTCTTTTGCACCCTCTGGCAATTGTTGCACGCGCAAATGCTGTCGGAATATGCCAGCGCCACGGGATACTATATCTGTTGTCAGTTCTACTAGCTTATACGTAGTGATTAAAAGAAACTACAAATCCTTATTACGCTTGAGTTTTCAAATTAGATTTATTGTTCTACCTTGAGATGAGTTCCAGCTGGACATTTCTCCTTCTGTAGATGACATGTGATATCGAAGTAGTCTACCTGAACAGCACTTCTAATCTCTATTTCTCCTCTTTGGAAACTCTCATTGAACAGAACTCACAGAGAACTCGTCTCCTTCCGGAATGAAGAGGTCTGGCTTGGTGTGACGAGTTTCAGCATTCAATATGCATTCCTGTTCGTTATAGTAATACATCACTGACTTGCACTCAAATTTATCGCCAGTCTCTGGTGGGGGGCTGAAGTGCTGGTATCAGTTTTAGGAATGCAAATTTCTAGCGTTTTTATAGATGTCACGCCCTACTTGGTGCACTGATCGAGGCACATCGTCACGGACGGTACGTTCTCCATCACAAAAGCAGCGAAGCC